AAAGCAAAGCCCTTTAAGGCGTTGATGTGTGCATTGCTTCTAAAATGTAAATATAAAATTGATAATAATAATTATTATTATATATTATAATTATAATATTGATAATAATAATTATTATTATATATTATAATTATAATATTGATAATAATAATTATTATATATTATAATTATAATATTGATAATAATAATTATTATATATTATAATTATAATATTATAAACTTGGAAAGTTTGAAACGTCACAATTTATTCCTCACTTGGATAAATACTTCAAAGAAGTACGTAAATGCATCTTTAGTACAATAATCACAATATTGAGAATGATTATTTTTTAAATACAATCCAACCAGTGAAGTTACATCTTCCAAATCTCTGTCAACAGTATGCACCCATCTTTCAAGAAATATCAATTCCATGAGATACAAATTCGAAGATACACATTTCCCTAGGAGTCCCATTTCTAGAGAACCTAACTGGGCATTAAGTGAAGGGGAAAGTTTATATAGAGCCGAGGTTCTAAACAATCAAATTCGAACCTACATCAAAAATTTCACTAGAAGGGGTTGTTTTGATGCTCAAATATCCTCAAATTGATTATATCGACATCAAGATACATGGACATGAGAAAAAATATGGATTTCAATTTTTGGAAAGTGTGTATTTTGTAACGTACTTTTGGACCGTCAATTTTTAATATTTTCAAGTTTCATAGATCTCTCGATCTACATTATTTTTGAAGCTTTAAACTTTATAAATAAAGATGAAAATATATTTTAAGGCTATCAAAAATATTTCCAGTATTGAAACCACAATTTTCGACACTATTTAAAGGTAGGCTCTAATTTGATTGTTTAGAGCATAGACTCTATACAAACTACATTCCTTAAGTGAATTCTCCATTATTCCAAAAGTAATTATATATGTATAACATTTTTAAGATAAAAGCTTCTTAATTTTCTGAAGAGTAATGATCCTATGAGACCCTTCCACACTCATGTGTGTACGACTAATGACCATTAAATTTAACACAAATCTCTAGAAAAGTTATCACATGGGTGTGGGAACTTGACTTTTCTAAATATCTGTGTCAAATTTAATAGTGATCTTTTGGGATTCTATATACATGAGTTTGGAAAGGTCTCACGAGATCATTTCCCTTTTATGAATATCATTAATTATTTATTTCCGTGTGGCATTACATAATATATTTTCTACTAATGAAAGTAAAATATATATATTTTATCAAAACTAAAGAAGTACAAAATGATGTACGACACGACATGGACAAAGCATAACCAAATAAAAACAACGAAAATAATTGAGAAGTAAAACCGAATTGCAAGTTTCATAAACTCATTATACAAATATTGCCAAAAATAAAGAAAATGAGTTTTCTAATGCCTATATATAACGGTGAACTTACTCCTAGTTGAATGCTCATAGCAAAGATCTAAATTTCATAGGGCCCCGTGTGGTTCTCTAGAATGTAAACCTGTGTATTCCACCCAAGTAATAACATAAAAATTTTTATATATAAAATAACTAGATACATATTATAAATAATATATTAATAATATACAATAATCATATATAGTAGTTATAATAATAAATATAATTATAGTAATTCTATAATTATATGTAATAATTATAATTATAACTAATTATATATTATAATATATAATTAATAGGTATTACACATACAATAATTAATATATATGTTACATTACAATATATAATAGGATATATATCACAATATATAAATATGATATTATATACGATTATATGAATAATATCATTTTAATACAATAACATCAATACAATCCAAATAGTGGATGTACATTTTCTAAGTCTCTTAGATGCTATCCAAACATAACATATACATATCCATAAGATGCCAAATCCAGAAAATACCAATTCCAACAGAGGCATCTTCCCAGGACGCTCATTCCTAGGGAACCAATTGATGCTTAGAAGTCTCAACTAGCATAAAATTTCCCATATCTACCTCTAGCAAAAGAAAAAAAAGAAAATGGAAACTATAGGTTTTTAATCCTAAGAGCTACTATACTTTTAACCCAATAAATAATCCTACGAGCTAGTATGTTTTTTAACCCAAAAAAAGGAGTTAGTGTTATTTTTCGCAACTCCGCCCTTTTGCGATTGTGATCGTCTCCTCGACCAAACCCAATTCAAAACATTATATATTAGTAGTGGATTTAAGTGTGTTGCATGTAGTAGACCAATTTAAATGATTACGAGAGGAAACTTATTTCCAAAATCTAAATAAGGATGAAATTTCTATAAGGCCTAAAACCTCACTTTAAATCTTTTGAAAGCACTTTTGGCAACATAAATTTTCATGAGGCTCTAAAATTATTTTCCAACACTGACTATAAAAGTTGAAACACAAATAATGGTATGAATCTTTGCAGATCTATGAACACTAATTTCTTAAGGCGAAATGGACGGTCTAGATAATTTGTTACCATATATATTATATTTAGAGCTTGAAATCCTAATTTTTTTCACAATCATAATGTTCAAGCCAAGATAATCGATGTAAAGATTTTCCAATGCTTAAATTGTAATTTTCGATGAGTTAATAGGACTACAACCCCATCAAACCATTGTCCTATTAAAAGAATGACATTATTCTGAGTGGAATATTTAAAGGACAATAAAAGAAAAAAGTTGAGCCTAATCTATTTTTTCATGGAAAAGGT